TGGCGTCTAGAGCTGTCACATGTGCCAATATTTGCTTCGTACAACAATTTGGCAGTTTGTTGGTACAAAATGATACCAGCCGGAACTACGAATTACATGTGCAAACAATGTTGAGTTCATAAAATTAGGTTTGGATGCCTAATAAAAAAGCTGTATGTTCTTGAAAATTTGTTACGATGTGTGCGTGAGATATCGATATGGTAGAAAATATGAACACATCACTACACACTACTACATCAATGTCGCACGCATACATATTCACAAATTATCGATAAAACAGCGAATTTTTGGAGTTTGATTTTGGGTTTAGGATCTCCTTAAGATCGTCATCTTTCTTTTCTTTATTCTACATTTTTATTAACAACAGTGAATATTGAAATGTAAATGTCTTAATAATGACTTTAATATTTAAAAACAATAAATTTAGTCTAACTTTCTACAGAAATAAGTAATATAAAGAAAAGCTTGATCTATATACATTATATATACTAATTTAGAGAGTTTCAAGTTTTAATATATTTATTATTACTAGTGTAGAAGAAAGAATCAGTGTAGATATTTCCGGTAAGAACACCGGTTGTACGGTGTAGTAATTACGCGCAATGTTCAAATATATGATCGTCGTATTATTGCAACTTAACAACGAAATTGTTAATTCAATTAAAAGGAGACTCGCAGAAAACAAGTCAGAATTAAACCGAACGTTCAACTGAAAAGATCTTACGCTCGCCGAAATAAAGAGATTTCTTATTGATAAACAAGTCCGCATTTATTTATGTACAACGCGTTTACGTCCTTACGCGCTACACTATTACAGACGCACGTTTCGCGCACGCTATTTAATATTTTTCTACTTTTTACTATATTTGCTCTTACATTATTAGTCTCAGTGCACACAACTGTCAAAATATACAATGACAACAGCTTACGAAGTAAGCGCAGCAAGAGAACCAATCAGCATCGCGTAACAGTGAATTTCAATAGATTCGACTATCGAATTGATATTTATCTTTTTAAAAGAGAACAATTAATTAATAATGATTATCAAATAATTAAGATGAAAAACATCAATACGGTCAAAGTGGATTTCAGTGCTTAATATTTTTAAATGTGAATCTTACAATCTTCACTTCAAGCAAACTGTGCGCCGTATAATCATCCATCTTAAAACACAGCTCCTAACTGAATAGTGCGTATTATCACAATTACATTTACAAAGCAATTTAATAAATTGATGCTAACAAGCATCTTTTAGATCCCGTGAAATAACTTATTGCAAAAAATATTACTTCAATCAGTATTTGAACTTGGATTACCCTGCTATCAGGGTAGATATATGTCTTACTGTATATGTTCTACTATATGTTCTACCAAGACGATAATATTCTTTGCAATAACTAGTAAATGTAGGAGCAACGTCTTTCAACAATGACGTGTAGACAAACAATTATTAATCTGAATGGACCGTGGAATGTTTCAATAAGTAAAATGAGAAAATATGTCAATAAAGTCAAAGCGAATCTTGCTTAATAATGTGTTTAAATGTAAATCTTACAATCTTTAATTTAAGCAAACTAGTGCAGAAAAAGTGGCATATCCTATCTATCAAATCAAACATAAACGTAAAACTATTTACTATAATATAGAACAATATAAACATTAATTAATTACCTAGTTTCCATCGCTCATGATCTGCTCTAACAAGATCAATTTTATTAAATAAATTTTCTCGTAACTTATTCACGTTATCTGAATCAGGAAATCTGCCAGCAAGATCGGAAGAGCACACGTCT